TGGGAAGAGGAAAAAGCCAAACTGCAAAGCAGCCCAGCAAAGTCAGCCCATCCTGCAGGAAGTTCTGGAATGAATATTGCCCATCAGAGTATGCCATGTCAGACCAAATGGCTAGGGTTTTATGCCTCTGGCTCACTCAGTGACTAGATGTGGGCTGCCCTAAGAAGTGGGGAATCTTGAGTCAGGCAGCTCTTTGCAGCTGAGGCAGACCCTAAAAGTGCTTAGAGCTGGAGGCCGTCTGCTGACCATATTTTCTGCAGCTGGGCCACCTGTCTTTCTCTGAAGGGAGATCTGTGTTGCAGTCTCAGTGTGTACTGCAGGGAATCTGGATGTCATAAGAGCTCAATAGTCAGGTCTTGGTGGATGGTTGTTTTAAGACCTGAATTTACTTCTCACTCAGGCAACCTGGCATTGGGATAAGGGTTGTGTTCTGGAAACAGTGGTTGAGCTTCTGAGCTTAACGCATGGAATCATAATATAGATTGCCTAAGCATTGCAACTTTGACCTTGGGTACCACTAGAAGCTGCCTTCTCCTTCCTGAAGGAATCACTGTGATCTGTGCAGATATGTGGGCCAGCAAGATTACTACTGATGCCAACAGAAGAGAAAGCATTAAAATTTGCAGAACAACTGTGAATATGCTAAAAATCATTCAGTTGTACTCTTTAAATGGGTGAATTGTAGTATATGTGAATTATATATTAGTAAAGTTCTTAAATGTTTTTTGTAGAATATATTTGTACTCATCATCTATTAATAGCCAAAAAGGCAAATTATTTACAGTCTGTCCTTCTAGGGAACTTGTTACAACGTCAGGTAATCACCTCACTTCTGTTTTAAAGGAAGGCTGCTTCTTTCATACTGAGGCAGCCTTCCAGATATCCTGTACAGGGGTTGACGTAAGGTGAAGAGGGGAGAGATAGTCTCCCTGCTATTTTTGGTAAAGAGGGTTTTCCAGCCATTATTTTAAGTGTTAAAACAGATGTGGCAATTCATATCCTGGGCCAAAGAGGGTCAACCAAATACGTTTGCTTGTATGTTAGTGTTTTTAAGGAACTTCCTCGGAAAGTTGGTCTTTTCTAGAATGACTTCCAAGGACGTCTTCTGAGCTCCTTGAGGGATAGTGAAAATATTAACTGGTGCTTTAAGACTGTTCATTCATTCATTCATCATTCATTCAAAAGTCATTTTTATGTATCTCCTAAATGCTGGACATTAAGCTGGCCACTATGAATATAGAATTGATTGGGATGGTCCCTGCTATCAGAGAGATAGATATGAAAACTTAGAATTGTTGTATATTTTGCTATACTCTATAATTAATGCATGAAGAGAGTGCTATGAGGACAAAAAGAGAGTAAGATTCTTTTGATCTTTTGTTTAAATCACCTGTGAAAAAATTTGTACTTGCAAAAATTGTATTTGGTTTACAAAATTTAAATGGTTTCTTAGCAGTGTTTACTCTTCCTTTCATTTTTCCCTTTCAGTCTTTTTCTGGGTTCTTTTAGCTTTCCTTAAGGAACACAAAATCTGCTTATAAAAAGATATCCCAACCTAGGTACACACTATCATGAAAACCCCAAACTAAGTAAACAAAAGGAGAGGCAGGGATATTATGCTAGTAACAGCTTCTGATTAACTCCTCATTGAAGGAGCGTGATCTTTAGGAGAATATGCACGCAGAACACTCTAGCAAGAGCCTGGACCCCAATGAGCTCTCAGTACATTTAGTGGGGAATAGTTGTAAGGCTTCAGGGGGAAACGATCTGATTTTGTGTCTGAGTAGATATCTCTGGAGGTTTTGAGGATTAAAAAGTGTTAGAATAAGAAGAAAGTTTATAATCTACCATTATTTGTGTTCTAAGAAACACTCAATTCCAAATGGAGGCAGAGGAGTTCTAGGACTTGTTGCAAATGAACACAGAGTTTGAACTGTGCAAGGGTTTGGGCTCTCACCCAGGCGCTCCACGCTGACCCCTCACACCCGTGGATAAAGCTGCTTTTATCCAGGTTGGCATAGCAGCAGATGGCCAGTGCCAGCAGAGGAAGCAATTCTTATTAGGGATTTTACAAAATGACTCAGGCCTGGCGAGAACCAGAAATATCTAATTCCCATTCCATTGTGATTTGTGATCTAAAACTTTGCATAAAAACAGCATCAACTGCTTGAACACTATGGGAATAATAATTAATAGCTTTTTAGGTAGATGTTTAAGTACTCTTCTTGTGGAGTACACATATGATTTATTTATTTTTCCTCCTCAAATATGACCCGTGTTTAATAAAATCTATTTCTCCTGTAGTCCCGAACCACAGATGCAATAGTTGTGTAATGCAGTGTAATGTGACTTGCAGTCGCCAAGGGCCATGAATAATGCGCCTCAGTAAAGCACAGTGATCAGGTTGCCTGTTGCATATGGGCTGCTGCCATCCAGTCTGACAGCAGCTGCAGGCTGTTTCTACTCAGCGGTTCAGCGGTTCATCTCAGGGAATGAGATGCCAACGTTTCCTTGGGCAAACCGACAGGTCAAAGCTAGGATCTATAGCCAAAAGTCATTATTTATTATGAAAGTTTAATGGATGTAGAAATAGATTAGATAGAAGAGAACATTAGTTAAAAACCACGTATACCACTTCAGAAATTAGTATAAATTACCATAGTTGTCAAGGTTTTATAAAAGGATATTATTCTGCTTCAAGATTTTGGAAATAGGTTGTGTCTATTGCCTAAGGTTGTGACAACAGAACTGGGTCCACATTTCGTCCTTCTCTGAATTCACAAAAATCCTAAAACAACAAATGTATTCAGATAAGAGCATATACAAATGTTTTTGCTTTTTGTGATCATTATTATCAGGCGGGAGTTAGTGATAAGTATGGAACAATACAATTTAAAATATAATAACATATTGAGGACAGACTTTATAAAACCAACTCTTCTGATATTTTGAGATTTATAGTCATCAATCACAAGATTCATAGTTCCTGGGCGATCAGGAAAATCACATAGTTCCTGATTTTCGCCCCTTTGTCTGATTACTTGGTTAACCTCATTGGGGAAGAAATCATTTATTGAATGTGATGACGCCTTGACATTTTTGCAGAGACTCTCCCTTTGGGGAAGATGGCTATACTTTTGGTTGTGATAAGTGGCTTGCTTAAAAATGATAATGTCACAAATATTTTGAGGATAATAACTATTGAAAAGCTGAAGGAAGAAAATTCATGCTTACTTTTATAGCTTTTAAATGAGCACTTTTTGTAAGTATTTAAGTAGATATAAAAAAGATGATTAGATAAATATCCTTTATGTACCTTCCCAGTTTACTGGAAGTATTATTATTATTATGTGTTCCAGTATTTTCTGTTCCACTTAATCATTAGAAGACGTAATGAACTTTTTTTGTCATATGTTTATATCTGGCTAGAACTTTAAAATATGAGCTTTATAAATGATGTTGTAGATTCCACTATTTGGATTATATTAGAGGGAGAGTAATCAAGGTATTGGATGCACTGGAGTCCTTAAGACAATTTGTCATGATCTCACTTTTCTGTGTCAACTTTTAATTCATCTTCAGCCCATTCCATTAGACAAAGTCTTCTGTCTTTATCTGGCTTCAGCCTCACTTTGTTTTCACTTCTCTCCTTCCTGCTGTCCTGTTTTCTTTTCCATTAGTCTGAGGACTCAGCCCTGACTCTATTCTCAACCCTCACTCTTCTACCTCCCTTTCTAGCCTCAGCCATAATTCAACAATTTCAAAAAATAAGCAGACAACAAAAATGCAGGAGAACTAGGATTGAGAGTATCTGCTTCATCTCTCCTCTAAAATCAAGCCAGTAGAATTTGGGAAAAGGAAAAAGAACATTTGTTTTCGCCCAGTGTCTATGCCATTTTTATCCATTTTCACTTTACCTTGCTTAGATACAGTGAAAAATTAATATCACTATTAGAAAAACAAGTGGAAAATATTGTTTCAAAATTTCTACCCGTTAAATTTGTAAATCCAAGTTGGTTGAGTTTCTATTGAAATGATAAAATAATCTCAAGCCTAGATTTTTTTTTAGAAGTATTTTGTGATTGTCATGCTGTGTGAAAACTATTAACTGCAAATCATTTTTTGATCTTCTTGCAATGTATTAGTGTACTGCTCTATTATGAACCCATTGAGAAAGTTTTGTTTCAAACTATATGTAAAAATTCCATTCTCACAAGGAAGACATAGAGGCAAATCAATTTTTTTTCTGTTAATTAAAGGTGAATGTCTCAAAAATGATAGTAGGAGATCACTTTCCAAAAGATTACATGACTCAGTTAATAGAAACCTAGATACTTAGAAGTTGTGAGTGATATTAGATAATTAAAGAAGGTATAACTAATTCAAAACCAAAACATTAATGTTGCCATAAAAATCTTAAGACGTCACACTATCGATTTTTCTGTCAAAAGGTGAGGGCCTTGGTTTGAAGAATATTTTGCTACAAGGATCGACGGTTTTATTTATGCTTGTATGTTTCTAGACTGTGTTTATAGACGATATATTTATAGACTGTAATGTGAATGAAGTTAAATGACACCCCAATTGTGGGCTAACCTTTTAGAATATGTATTACTTAATTCTTATTCTTAATGTCACAACAGTTGATCACTTACCCTAGTGACATTTTGTTAACATTTACAGCCATTTATTAAAAGAAGTAGTTTTATTATTATTTTTTTCAACTAAGAAGCAAAGATTCATTCTGACTGCTCTTTTGCTTTTCGAATCCCTTACTTCAGGTCATCATGTGGCTGGGGAGGCTAGATAAAGCCAGGTTCTCACTGTATTTTGGGGGTTCTTTTAAAACTCCTCCCACATCAGCTGCCTGTTACTAAAATGCTCGAACCATGCTTTGCATGATGGTCACTCAGAGCCCTGATTTAAGTCAAAGCCAAGCTTGTATAATAATGGCAAAAATTAATATAAAGCATTCTAACATTGTTCTGAATTTATCACAGTTTATAGAAATGTGAGACATGCTAACCAACCATCAACATACTTTATCTTGGAGCATCATGTCTGAAAGGTCAGATTTGCATATGATAAAAGAGCAGGAGGCTAATTAAAGAATCCATGATCTTTCGATCTTCTGGATCCTAAAATCACGCTGACCTGGCAACTAACCGTTTGACAGTGGGACCACTGGGCACTAGAAAGTTCTCCATATATGGTATGTATTTATCATGTTCATGAACCTGTATCTCATGGCTAAAGGGATCTAGTACAGTGTCAACACCTAATGGAGGGAGGAAGAGTAGGAGGAGTTGTTGAGGGCAACCCTTTAGCAGAGTGGGTGGGCACTCATGTTTTGGAGCCAGACAGAACGTTCTCTGGCTCTGATATCTTGGGTATATTATGTAACCTCTCTGTGCCTTGATTTGCTCAACTGTAAAATAGGAATGTAATAACAACTGCATCTTACCAGGTTAATATTAAATGAGATAATTCAAGGAAAGTGCTTAGTACAGTATCTTGCCTATAGTAAATATTCAGTAAATATAAATACATCATATTGTCATAATTTTAGGTGTTGCTACCCTTTCTACAGTGTGACTTTCCCTTGGTAATAAGGCTACTAGTTAAAGTGTCTAGGTTCCAGGTATGGAAACATGGGTTAGATAGTCACATCTCGTCAGCACCTCAAATCGGGAGTTCAAGCATTTTTTAAAAGTAATTATAATGAAACTTTCACCACCAATTTGTTCAATATCTAGTTCAACATGCACAAGAATGTATATGTCATTCCTTAGTCATTATGTAAATTCTATATGTGTCTCCTCTGTCAGATGCAGTGGAGGAAGTTTCCTCAGTGGTTTTCAAAGTGTGGTTCCCAGATCAGCAGTGCCTGGGAGCTTGTTAGAACCTCCCGGATCAGAAACTCTGATGGCGGGGCCCAGCAAGCCCTATCTGAACAAGCCTCCCTGATGGTTCTGATGCACGCTAAAGTTTGGGAACCATTGCTGTAGTGTTTGTAGCGATAGGAGGCTGGAGATACTAATGGTTGTTATGTAGAGATTAGATGAGAAAGGATCCTTGTAATTGAGGAGATAATCCCTGCTTTATAGTCCTATATTGAGAGAACAAATTTGGCAAGTAAGTATTTGGCTATGGGGTGGGCCGATGTGAAGAATCTGAGTGAGTAGATTTAGGAGAAAGAAAGGTGATGATGACATTGAAAGAATGGTTCAGTGTTTGAAGAATCCTTGCTGTTGAAGGCTGCCCCTAGGATTATGTTAGAATGGCAAAGGCAACACTCATAAAACAGAAAATGTAATTAAAATAGTTGATTTCCTAGATCAGATTCTTAATTTTCTTTGATTTAACTTTTAAGGGATTGTGGCCAATTTAGAGTGTTTTAAAATCAAAGTAGAAATTAGAAAACAGGATGAAAAAATGAAGATAATGGAAGTGCTAAAGAAGCCATTGAATTTTTCTACTCACTCAAAACTGAACATGAACAGAAATTTCTAGAATATGCCTCTGGAGTCTAGAGACTGTTTAGTCCTTATATCAGCCCTACCTAATTAAATTACGTGTGCATTTTCTAAAAGAAGCAAGAAGTCAGTGTAGTGTAATGAAAAGAGCCCGTTATTTAGAAATAAAATAGACCTGGGTTTGAATCTCACTAGCTATTTTACTTTAGGCAAATTATTCAAATTTCTAAGAATCAGGTTTTTAATCTCTAAAATAGAGCTAATGATGCCTGTTCTTTAGAAGGTGATTCCCCAAATGGGAAGGGGCAGCATTTTCCCGTGGAGAGAGTTAGTGGTGGTCACAAAATTGGAAAAGACAGTGGCCCTGAGTGGGCAGAGACTAGGGGTGATAGGCACCCTGCAATATGTGAGACAGCCCCACCACAGAGGACTGGACCATGTCCTGCACTCATCTTTAATGCCCCCAATACCTTCAGGCAGGTGAAAATCCTCTTTATAAATATTTAAGCCCAGAACCTAACTGTGTTTTGCATACAAACATAAGATATTTTTTACGTGGTTTTAAAATACACTGAATTTTCCAGGAAAGCAAATTACTGTCATGTAAATTGAGAGAAGGTTATACTTTGTTTTGTTTGTGCTTTCTTATCAAAAGTTGTTCGCTCTTTTGGAAAAAAAAATCACACAGCCAGCAGCAGCTCTATGCATATTTCATCTTCTGTAAAAGAGCCTTATCACACTGTATTTGAGGAAGTTGTATTCACAGTGATACTACCTATGGGAGCAAACCACCGACTACCTCATTATGTCTTCTAGAGTAATTGTCCTCGGGCATTTCCTCATTCAAATAAAGAGATTGAAATGTAAGAATGAAAAAATACTATTTTAATATAAATTAATTTCTTTTTATTTCTCTTATATTATAGCTAAAGCATTATATTAATTTTTAAAAACTATGTGTGTAGGTAGGTTATATTAACTATGAATTTCGTTTCAGGATAGTAAATGTGGAATGACATAATATTCTGAAAAGGAGATGTTAGATCTGAAGGTGGATCTGCTTTAAAATTCCGAGAGGATGAGATGAGGTAATGTTAGTAAGTGGTTAACGTTATATCTGGTGCATAGTAATTGCACATATGTAGTAGCTGTTATTATTGTAATTAGAAGCAGTGGCGCTGGTGGGATTGGATAGCAGTGTAAGTAAGTGCGGGGAGGCTGTTCACAGGCCAGGAAGTCTGTTTCTTGCCTAGGGATGCAGATCAGAGCCAGCCTGATGCTGAGCATGCACCCGTGGCGACCTCTATCTCAGGATGATGGTGAGAGCAAGCTGGGAGTTCTGAACTTAACCCTGAGACTCTAAGAAAGGGGGGAGACAGGAGCCAATCTGAACTGGAAATCAAGGGAAGATTAGAAATAAGATTCCACACGTTGCTTCTCAATCCACATTGGACAGACAGTAGTGTAGAGGGTGTTTTTGTTGCTACAATTACTCTTATTCTCTGGCGACTGCTTCAGCCATCTGGTTGCCTACGCAACTTCCTTGAGTGTTGCAAGTGTTACTTTTTACAGTTTCTGTGTTACCAGAGAGAATTATTAAAGGAGAATGAGACTAAAGCAGCATTTTAGAAAATAAGCAGAGCTATCAGGATTCGGAAAAACTGCAATGGTCTGAAGTCTATGCCATTGTAACTGGATCATAACCGTAGCACACTGGAATGGTTCAACAGGAACCACACCACTATAGGTCATTCTCACTTGGCTCTTGAGTGGTGACTGCTTCTCAGAGCTATGGTGTCACCAGCATTTGTGGTCAATAAAATAAATAGTTGATTCTTTGAGCAAGAATCTAGAGACACTTCATGGGCTAGATGACATCTCAAGATCTGTTGACAGGGAGATCTCATCAAGATGGTGGCATAGGCAGACTCTGAACTCACCTCATCCCATGAATGCAACCAGGTTACAACTATTCTTGGAAAAAATACCCCAGAGAGAGAACTGAAAACTGGATAAGAAGAACCCCTACAACAAGTGACAGTCCTGACTGAGATGGAAGAAGCAGAACTTCCTTCTGGAAAGAAGAGGGGCCACCTTTATAAGCCACAGAGCTTCACAGCTGAGCAGAAGCCACCTTAAGGTACACAGCCCTCCCTGGAGGAGCAGGAATCTGAGCAAGGGCACTTTACCACTATAAGCATCCTGCAGACTCAGCACAACTGAGATGAGTCTCATAATATCTGGCTTTGCTGGCTATTAACTACAACAGCAAATACTCCCAGAAAAGCTATCAGATGTAAGGCAAAAAACCAGCTCTTAAAGGGCCCATGCACAAATTCGATCATCTCAGAAAGCAACTTAAAATCACCAGAAGGAAAGGTACACAGTCCTTTGGTGAAAAGAGACTCACCTGGTAGGCTCTGGGTGCATCTGAGTGAGAGGTGAGACCTCTCCAGAGACTGAGACACTGGTAGCAGCCATTGTTGTGACCTAGTACAGGCATACTGACACAGACACAGGCAGACACCATTGGAATTCTCCCCCTGGCCTGTTAGCCCAGGGATCTGCCACACCTACTAAAGTGCAGATTTAATCCAGTTCAGTCAGGGCAGGCAGCCTGCCCTAGGGACTGGCCCCACTCAACAGCAAGCCCTCAGGCTACTTCTCGGTCTGCATAGGCTGGGTGCCTCAATACTCTATAGGAAGGTGAGTGTGTCTGCCTCTGTAGGCAGGGCTTGTGTGAGGAGCAGGTGAACTGTGGGGGGTGTTGGTCAAGAATGTGGGGGCCTCTGCAGTGGGGTGACTGGGTATACTCCATGGAGTTGGGAAGTGTGCACAGGGCAGGACTGTGTGGACAGGTGTGTGTGGACCTGTGGGGGGTGGGGCTTATCAGTGGCGGAAGACCTGTGCTTCACAATCATCCACAAAGGGGATTGGGCCCACCTTCCAAAGCCTGAAACAAATGGGTGCTCCAGAGCCTGGGGCCAGCCCCACTCATCTGTAATCCTAAGAGAGCTAACAACAGCCCTGTAGGCCTGAGGCCTACAGCAATTGTAAGCCCCTGAGCCTAGCAGCCAGCCACACTGGGTAACTACTCACTTAGCAGAAAAACTGAAACAAAAGTGTGCTATTAGACCTTGCAGCCAATGGTGCTGAGGCTTCCCAAATCCAATTTACAAACAGCCAGCCAGGGAGGGAAAGCCCAGGCTCCCTGGGTACCTGCAGTAAGAGAAACCCTGCCATAGCAGAAGGACACACATAGCCCACACAGAGGTTGCTCTGGGAACATTTGGACTGGTGATGAGAGGGAAGTGTGTAGCTGGGCCTCAAAAGGCATCTCTTACATAAGGCCAGTTCAAAATCAGGAGACATAGCTGACTCACCTAATACATAGATATAAGCACAGGGAAAGTGTTATAATGAGGAGGCAAAGGATTATGTTCCAAGCAAGGGAACAGGACAAAATGTCAGAAAAAGAACTAAATGAAACAGAAATAAGCAATCTACCTGACAAAGAGTTCAAACAGAAACTCATAAGGATGCTCACTGATCTTGAGAGAAGACTGGATGAACACAGTGAGAACGTCAACAAAGAATTGGAAAATATAAAAAAAATCAGAAATGAAGAATACAATACTGGAAATGAAAAATTCACTAGAGGGACTCAATAGCAGAGTAGATCATACAGAAGAATGGATCAGCGAGCTGGATGAAAGACTAGAGGAAGTCACCCAAGCTGAGGAGATAAAAGAAAAAAGAATTAAAAAGAACAAGAACAGTCTAAGGGAACTCTGGGACAATATCAAGCACACTAACATTTATATTATAGGTGTCCCAGAAGGAGAAGAGAGAGACAAAGGGACAGATCATCTATTTGAAGAAATAATAGCTGAAAACTTTCCTAACCTAAGGAAGGAAACAGATATCCAAGTACAGGAAACACAGAGAGCACCAAACAAGATAAACTCAAAGAATCCCACACTGAGATACATTATAATTAAAATGTCCAAAATTAAAGATAAAGAGAGATTCGTAAAAGTTGCAAGAAAAAGGCAACAAGTGACATACAAAGGAAAGCATATAAGGCTATCGGTGGACTTCTCAACTGTGACCTTACAGGCTAGAAGAGGGTAGCATGACGTATTTAAAGTGCTGAAAGGAAAAAACTTACAGCCGAGAATACTCTATCTAGCAAGGTTATCATTCAGAATGAAAAGAGAGATAAATAGTTTCCCAGACAAACAAAAATTAAAGGAGTTTATCACCAAGAAACCAGTTCTGCAAGAATGCTGAAGGGACTTATTTAAGTGGAAAAGAGAAGACCACAAATAAGAATAAGAAAATTATTTTTAAAAACCCCAAAAATAACAGGCAATAAAATCACTGGTAAAGGCAAAAATACAATAAAGGTAGCAGATCAACCACCTGTGAAGATAATATGAAGGTTAAAAGACAAAAGTACTAAAATTGCCTATTTTAATAATAAGAGGGTAATGGATAGACACACAAAAAATTAACAGATTAGATATGATTTGAAAAACATAAAATGTGGGAGGAGGAGAGTAAACGAGAAGAGTTTTTGGAAAGAGGTCAAACTAAAGAGACTATCAACTCAATATAGATTGCTAGATTCATAGAATATTATATATCAACCTCATGGTAATCACAAACCAGAAACCTATAATAAATAAACAAATAAGTAAGAGAAAGGAATCAAACATATTGCTAAAGGAAACCATCAAACTGCAACGGAAGAGAGCAAGAGAGAAAAAAAGGAACAGAGAAGAACTGCTAAAACACCCAGAAAAAAAGTTAAAAAATGGCAATAAATACATATTTATCAATAACCACTTTAAATGTCCATGGACTAAGTGCTCCAATCAAAAGGCATAGGGTGGCCGATTGGATTAAAAGAAACAACACCCATTTACATGCTGCATACAAGAGACACACTTCAGACCTAAAGACACTCACAAACTGAAAGTGAAGGGATGAAAAAAGATACTCCATACAAATGGCAAAGAAAAGAAAGCTGGGGTAGCAACACTTACATCAGACAAAATAGACTTTAAACAAAAACCATAACAAGAGACAAAGAAGTGCACTACATGATGGTAAAGGGAACAATCCATCAAGAGGATGCAATGCTTGTAAATATCTATTCACCCAACATAGAGCACCTAAATATATAAAGCAATTATTAACAGACATAAAAGGAGAAATTGACAGTAACGCAATAATACTAGGGGACTTTAACAGTCCACTTACACCTGTGGATAGATCATCCAAACAGAAGATCAATAAGGAAACGTTGGCCTTAAATAACACATTAGACCAGATGGACTTAGTAGATATATATAGAACATTCCATCCAAAAACCAAAAACTACATTCTTTTCAAATGCACGTGGAACATTGTCCAGGATTGATCACATATCAGGCCACAAAATGTCTCAAGAAATTTAAGAAGGTCGAAATAATACCAAGCATCTTTTTCTGACCACAAATGTGTGAAACTAGAAACCAATTACAGCAAGAAAATCAGAAAAACCACAAAAATGTGGATCAACGGTTGGGTTAACGAATAAATCAAAGGAGAAATCAAAAAATACCTGGAGACACATGAAAATGAAAATACGACATGCCAAAATCTATGGGATACAGCAAAAGCGGTTCTAAGAGGAAAGTTTATAGTGATTCAGGCCTCCCTCAGCAAATAAGACAAAGCCCCAATAAACGATCTAACAGTGAACCTTAAAAAATTGGAAAAGGAAGAACAAACAAAGCCAAAAATCAGCAGAAGGAAGGGAATAATAAAAATCAGACAAGAAATAAATGAAATAGAGACCAAAAAAAAAAAAAAAGAAAAAAGAAAAAAATCAATGAAACCAAGAGTTGGTTCTTTGAAAAGATAAAATTGACAAACCTTTAGCTAGACTCACCAAGAAAGAAAGAGAAGGTGCAAATAAATCAGAAATGAAAGAGGATAAATTACAATGAATACATCAGAAATACAAAAGATTATAAGAGAATACTACAAAAAACTATATGACAATAAAGTGGATAATCTAGAAGAAATGGATAAATTCTTAGAATCATGCAACCTCCCAAAGCTGAATCAAGAAGAAGTGGAGAATTTGAATAGACCAATCACCAGTAAGGAGGTGGAAACAATAATCAAAAACTTTCCAAAAAATAAAAGTCCAGGACAAGACAACTTCTCTGGTGAATTCTACCAAACATTCAAAGAAGACTTAAAATCTATTCTTCACAAACTCTTCCAAAAAATTGGAGAGAAGGGAAAGCTTCCTAACTCATTGTACAAAGCCAACATTATCCTGATACCAAAGACAGACAGGATGACGCAAAAAAAGAAAATTACAGGCCAATATCACTGATGAATATTGATGCAAAAATCCTCAACAAAATACTAGCAAATCAAATACAACAATACATTAAAATGCCTATACACCGTGATCAAGTGGGATTTATTCCAGGGGTGCAGGGATGGGTCAACATCTGCAAATCAATCAACACGGACACCACGTCAACAAAATGAAGACTAAAAATCACATGATCATCTCAATTGATGCAGACAAAGCATTTGACAAGGAACAACATCCATTTATCTTAAAAACTCTAAATAATATGGGTATGGAAGGAAAATACCTCAACATAATAAAGACAGTATATGACAAACCCACAGCTAATATCATTCTCAATGGAGAAAAACTGAAAACTATCTCTCCAAGAACAGGAACCAGACAAGGATGCCCATTTTCACCACTCTTATTTAACATAGTATTGGAAGTCCTAGCCAGAGCAATCAGGCAAGAAAAACAGGAATCCAAATTGGAAAAGAAGAAGTAAAACTGTCACTATTTCCAGACGACACGATTTTATATGTACAAAACCCTAAATAATCCACTAAAAAACTTTTAGAAATAATAAGTGAAAACAGTAAAGTTGCAGGATAAAAAATCAACATACAAAAATCAGTTGTGTCTCTATAACTAGAAGTAGCAGAAAGAGAAATTAAGATAACGATCCCATTTACAATTGCAACAAAAAGATTAAAATACCTAGGAATAAACTTAACCAAAGAGGTGAAAGATGTGTACACCAAAAACTATGAAACATTGTTGAAAGAAATTGAAGACGACGCAGAAGTGGAAAGATATCCCATGCTCTTGGATTGGAAGAATTAACATAGTTAAAATGTCCATACTTCCTAAAGCAATCTATAGATTCGATGCGATCCCTATCAAAGTCCCAACGACATTTTTCCAGAAATAGAACAAAGAATCCTAAAATTTATATGGAACAGCAAAAGACCCGAAATAGCCAAAGGAATCCTGAGAAAAAAGAACAAAGCTGGAGGTATCACACTCCCTGATTTCAAACTATACTGCAAAGCTATAGTAACCAAAACAGCAGTGTACCAGCACAAAAACAGACACACAGTTCAATGGAACAGAATGGAGAGCCCAGAAATAAACCAACACATATATGGACAACTAATTTATGACAATGGAGCCAAAAACATACAATGGAGAAAAGAGTCTATTCAATAAATGGTGTTAGGAAAACTGGTCAGCCACATTTAGAGGGAAGAAAGTAGACCATTATCTTACACCATGCACTAAAATCAACTCAAAATAGATTAAAGACTTGAATGCAAGATCTGAAACCATGAAACTTCTAGAAGAAAAGATGGTCAGTACACTCTTAGACGTTGGTCTTAACAGCATTTTTTCAAGTACCATATCTGACTGGGCAAGGGAAACAATAGAGAAAATAAACAAATGAGACTACATCAGATTAAAAAGCTTCTGTACAGCAAAGGAAACCATCAACAAAAAGAAAACCACCCTAAAAATGGGGAGAAGATATTTGCAAACCATATATCAGATAAGGGGTTAATATCCAAAATATACAAAGAACTCATACCTCAACAACAAAAAACTAACAGCCCACTTAAAAAATGGGCAAAAGATCTGAACAGAGATTTCTCCAAAGAAGATATACAGATGGCCAAGAGGCATATGAAAAGTTGTTCAACATCATTAACTATCAGGGAAATGCAAATCAAAACGACAATGATATATCACCTTGCTCCCTTCAGAATGGCTATAATTAGCAAGATAGGAAACAATAAGTGTTGGAGAGGATGTGGAGAGAAGGAAATCCCAGTACATGGGTGGTAGAAGTGCAAACTGGTGCAGCCACTATGGAAAACAGTATGGAATTTCTGCAGAAAATTAAGAATAGATTTACCATATGATCCAGCTATCCTAATGCTGGGTATTGATCCAAAGAACTTGAAAACACAAATGCATAAAGATGCATGCACCCCTATGTTCACTGCAGCATTATTCACAACAGCCAAGACTTGGAAGCAACCTAGGTGCCCATCAAGGGACAAATGGATAAAGAAGATGTGGTATATATACATAATGGAATACTACTCAACCATAAGAAATGATGAAATCCAGCCATTTGTGACAACATGGATGACTTTGAGGGTATTGTGCTAAGTGAAATAAGTAAGAGGAAGAAAGTCAAATACCATATGATCTCACTCATAAGTAGAAGATAAAAACGACGACAAAAAAATACATAGCAACAGAGATTGGATTAGTGGCTACCAGAGGGGAAGGGGGAGGGATGAGGCCAAAGGGGTAATTAGGAACATGTGTGTGGTGATGGATTGTAATTAGTCTTTGGGTGGTGAACATGATGTAATCTATACAGAATTCAAAACATATTACGATATACACCTGAAAGTTATATAATGCTATATAACCCAATGTTACTGCAATATAAAACATAAATTAAAGAAAAAAAGATATGTCAACATTCTTCCCATATGCTAACCCCATGTATTATAAAACAGTTTCATAAGGACTGATGATGTACCAAGTGCAGTAAGAGAGATATTTTTGGTCAATGTTAAAAAAAAAAAAAGCCTCTCTTTCTAAACCTGAGCTAGAAAGTTAGAAAGGATAGTAGTTAGAAAGAACTTTAGAAACTAACTTTCTAGTGGTTAGAAAGAATAGATTAAAACCCTTAAGAAGGTTTCTGTGTATTTTTATGCCAAGGCAGGGAAACAATCTAGATGTTGTTTCTTTAGATAATTTCAACCATTTACCCAGCTGTAATGCTGACTGATTAGAATACTATGTAAAATATTAAGGGGCATTTAAATAATTTTTGATGATGATAATGACATTATGTAAATAGCTAAATGCAGAGTGATACAGTGTTCTAGGTTATCATATACTGGAATAATAATTGCCCAGTAAATAGTATTAATATGAGATCTAGATATTGTTACTTGAAACCCTTTTAAAATTTAACATCGTAAAAGTCGGTATGACTTGGAAGGATAGACTTAGACATCTGTGTCTTAGAATATGCAGACCAAAAATAAAAGATGCCCCTGTCCCAGAAGCCACTTCACCTCTGAGGTTTGCTTGGCTAGAACACTTCAAAAAACTGAAAGATACACTGACATTAGGAATACACAGGCTTTCAAAATTCTGTCAGTTCTGCCCTAATATATCTGTGTGGTAGAAATGTTCCCTCCCTTTTGTCTTTTCAGTGCTGTTTCAGTAGGAATTAAAAGCCTAGGAAATTTCCTTAAGGACTATCCAGCTTATTTCCTTTGACTCTAGACTTGTCATACAATATATGTTCTTCCCTTTGTAAATGGGCATTTTTCCTAAAAGCTAATTCGGTGTAAAGCACATTCTGGATGGTACAATCTCTAGTTTGTTACCTGCTCAGAAAGGAACAGACATGATTCCAACGGGGATTCCAAATCTCCACACTCATAATTGAAATATATACTGTACATGGTTCCTTTGCCTTCAACATTAATACCCATCTGCTGAAATGGCAAGGTGCCTGCTCTCTGGTTGATTGGATGGATGCCCTGGAGCACAGGTGTCTGGCAATGATGGGTTTAGAGAAATCCCCGACATAACATTGTTTGTGACATTTCCTCTGCAGGACATCTCTCCTGGGTATGTGTTATACAGAGGGCTCTCTCTTCCTGTCTGATGTCATGACTGCTGCTGGACATCTTCAGAAATTTCTGTTTATCATTAAAAGCAAAAGGCTCAGAACAAGGTGACATTTAAAAAGTGGAAATCATAATATTTTGATTCTTGAGCTCTAGCTTAAAAGTTTAAAAAAATGTTCTTTCTTGAAAGATATTAAATACCAAATTTTTAAACCCAGAGTATTCTTCCAGGTACCATTTATTCATTACTTACATTTTATGGCCCACGAAAGTTGGTGATACAAAGCCAAAAGCCATGCTATAGTAGTACACATGTGGCAGTATTTTATGAGAGGTATGTCTTAGGATTTCAAAGTAAATGGTCATTTTTGGTTATCTCATAAAAGCTATTGCGGAAAAACAAAACAAAACGTTTTAAAAGCTATTAATCAACATTATTTTTCTCCTTTCTGGGTATTTCTCTCAGATGGAAATACCCAATTGGAGTAGCTGGTGGACTCTATAGGTAATCATTTAGGAGTCAGTGTGGTAGTACAGACAGAAGAGAAACCCTATGCTTTATCCTAACTTTGGTTTCCAAACTTCTAAGCCTTTAGGGGAAGGAAGAATTTTCAAGGATTAGACTAAATATTTGGGTGAAACAAGGGGAAGAGTCTAGGGTCTCCTAGACCCAATTTGCAGTCTAGAAACATTTGCCTTAGGCTGGGAAAGAGAGATGGAGAAAAAGAAATGAGATACGATTGTGTTAAGGGGCCTTAGAGGGAGCATTATCTGCATCCATCTCTTGGGCAGAGCCCAGAGATAGTCTAAGATCTTAAGAAATGACTGTGAGCTTCCTAGAGGTAATTGTGAGCCATAGAAAGCTTTGCAGAGATACCCACACCTCGGGTTCACTGAGCTGAGGATTATTTTAAGGTTGGACCTTACCTTGTGCCCAAGTGATTCAAGGATCCAAAAATCCTTGGCCCCTTTCTCACATCTCTTGTGAAGTGACCACTTGTAAACCCTCTGGCACAAACTTAAGAGCAAGAATATAAACCCAAAATTCACTGAGTAGATTTCTTCTCTTGAGAGGCTTGCAATTGATTTGTTATAGAACACAAAGTTGCGTTTCTAGTTCATCCAAGCATGTGTACTGAGATTCATATTAAATGCATTATTTATATATTGTGAATTATCCCAGAAAAGATTTAAGGAATATTGCAAAAGTTTGAAATTTTTCTTTTGTACTTTTCATGAATTTTGTTAAAGGCAGTGTTTATGTAATATGCTCTGTTCAGATGGGGTACAGATTATCTGGACTGCCCACTCTGTTCACTAGAAGCCTAACTCAACAGCCTGGTATGTTTCAGTTCAGCTATTTAACTACAGCAGTACCTAGAGGAGTTTTTAGCTCAGTATTTTGCAAAAACAACAAAAGGATGTTTTGATAGCTACCAAATCAATACACTATACGAACTTTGTTCAGTCTGTGTGCATATTTGTATACAACTATTTGCAAAAGCTATGTATTGGGTTGGCTATCAATGTCTACCTTCAACTTCCTCTTTGCTTAAGAATAGATAATGACCTCAAATCTACTCACAAAACTTCTGGTCAAGAGAGAATCCCCTTTAGTGAGTGTCATGCTTCTCTTGTGCCATGATGATTACTTTTGTTTCAAGCCTCTTATGGCTGTAACGTTTTATTTTTTTACTTTGCTCACAGAATCACACAAAGGACAACTTTAAGCACTGAACCATTTTTGGAAGATTTCTGTGGAAGACATAGTTTGTCCTCCAAATGCTTTATGTGCATTCTTTGTGTGAATGGCTGCCTGGTGTTGCCACTCTGATCCCTTTAATTGCAGAGTTTTTGTGTTCTTGTTGACCAGCGTTCCTGCTGCCTGATCAGTGTTCTGAATATGGCATCATGCTCTGCAGTGAGGAGACAAGGGCATTTTAAATGTCTTTTGTGGACAAGAAACACTTTATGTATATGGTCCAAGATAACGACAGATTTTCCCCATGATTCAGCATCAAGACCATAGTGGGTTAACACAATTTAGTATTCTCCTGTTGTCTTTCTATTTTTTGACTTCATAACCAAAATAAGGGAGACATATTTGCACCCATGAACCTGGGGACAGCATTAGTAAAACCTGACCTTTAGCTGTGGATCTCTGCTCCCTTTGCTTGTAGTTGTGTTATATGAGTCGACCTGTGCCTACTGATTTATTATCAATGTTTTTCAAAAGCTGGGTTTCTCCCAATGAGGAAAAGCAATTACTAATGTGATCAAAATTGTTGAAATCTTTCTGATTTTCCAATAACTCATGAGAGTTCTCAATGGCACTTTGGGGCCTCTTATTATACTCTACATCAAATATGGGAGAAACAGAAAGTAACATGTGCAAATAATTTATAAGGCATTTATATGCTACATAATCTAGTTTTAGAAATCCATGTAATGATTCTTTCTGGGAGTGATTTTCATTGATTAACCTTTAGGTCAGTTTGTTATTTTTAAATAACCAACCATGACTTTGTTTCATTATCTTTAACCTCTGATTCCTCTAGTTTATTAATTATCAAAATAGTTAATTATTTGATAAGTACCAGAGATTTATTCTAGCTATCTTGTTCTCTAATGATTTCTTAAACAATAAGAATAGCACTTTAATACACATTTTCTCTAGAATATCCATCTCCTTCAGAGGGTAATAGAGCATTAGTAGTCTTTTTTAATAAGATAAATGAGCTATTTCCAAAATCTGTACACTTTATAACATTACATCAAATATTGCATTACTGAATTAACTATATTGATATATGGAAAAATAAAAATCACATTGAAAATCTTTTTTGTGAAGATCTGGCAAATTCAAGTTTAGAGACACAACATAAGAGACAGTGTTTTTATCTAAAATTATTGTCAAATTTTAGAAGGAACAAGACAAGGAAAAAAATCCCTGTTTGGACAGTTTTACTCAATTAAAATGAAGAATAAAATTAAGCTAGTTGTGTGGATAATTAAGGCTAAATCATCCTTCTTAAAGTATATTGTTGCATCAAATAATGTTACAGAGTTTTTTTCCTTTTTCATTTTATTCTGCTAATGTAGATCTAGACTTTATATGAACCTCAGGAAGAACAACTACAAAATAGAATCCACACATAGCAAAATAGAGTTAGATGTGTAACAAATTCAGCATCCTCTATTTAGGCAAGACTGACATTGCACAAAAAGCCTGACAGAGATTCCGTATTTATTTACCTCAGAGTTGAATCAAGTTCAATGAAAAGTGATTTGTAACTTGCTTATTCAGTGAACTTGAATAAATAACTCACAAATCAATGTCTTAGAAGAATTCGGTAGCTAGCCTATTTCATTTGAAACCATACTATAGCCTATCAATTTCCTCCTCTAGATACTGTTGAACAGAAAAAACTGGAATAGAAGTAGGCCATTCGACTTACCTGCCAAGAAGGACAGTTCAATTCCAAAAAGGGAAAAATGTGCTTGGAGTTTTAAAACTACTGTTTCTAGCTACCACTACTACCCTCAAAATTTCAGAACTAAGGAAAAGGGACCTCTGACATGGACCATCTGCTTTAGAGGACCTGGATCTGACTTAGCACGTTGCTCTTCATAGAGACATGAGTCCACAGGGTGAAGCAGATATCTCCACCCAGATGTGTCCACCATGTTCCTTCCTTCTAGACCATTCTTCAAGTACCCGGGGGACCAAGCCCACTTGCAAGACCTGCACAGCCTTCTTCTCAGGACCCTCCTCCAAAGAACGGACCACATTGCACTTGGGTCAGAGAAATGGCAAGTAGGGGCAATTTGCAGGGGTGTGGATAAAGCTTGGACATCCAGGCTGTGGTGTGAATGAGAGGTCTCTCTTGGGACAAAAATAGAATGAGGAACAAATTACTGGCCAAAGATACGGACCTGGAGCAGGCACTCTCCATGCTATCACATTCTAGTGCACAATTCTGTGTAGTCCAAAAATTTAAAATTTGAACCTGGCTTTACCAATTGTTAAAAAGATACATTTTTTAAGGTAGGAAAATAGATCTTTTATTTAACATTGTGTCAGTTTGATTTATAACTAAGTATTTAGATATATGGCATATGGGCCACCATTTGTACTCTTGCCCCTGGCCCTTCAATGTTAAGGACAGGCTTACCAGCTACCGCCCTATCTCTCTACTCTCCTTCACGACTAGTCACTGAGCCACCACCCAGGACTCAGCAGCCTCCCCTGGATTACATCCATATAAGAATTCAACAGAGAAATGGCGGGAAGACTCTTACTACTGTCCATCGGATTATTGATGATTGTGATAAAAGGAAACTAGCGAAGGCATTTAAGGAGAAATTTGTCACCATAGGACTGTAACTGAGCATCCAGAATATGGAGAAGTAATTCACCTATAAGGCAACCAGCACAAGAACATATGCTAGGTCCTGGTAGAGATTGGGCTGGCTGAGGATGACCAGCTGAATGTTCATGGGTTTTAAGTGCTTTTGGCTCATTGAAGCTTGAGTGAGGACTTCCTTGCAATGAGTAGAATTTCCCTTCTGTCCCTTGTCATAAGTTTAAAGACCTCAGAGCTTGCATAATGTGTAATCATTTAGGGTCTGCTTTTAACTTGGACTAGTGTAACTCCTTCATGCAATAAACTGAAAAGAGCTATGCTGTCTATTCTCGAAGTCCTTTGTTTAAACAGAGATCAAGCAATAGGTGCCCAGAAGTGTCCAGCCTGAAACCAAGCAATAACATGATGTTTTGGCCAAGTCCAGAGCCCCAAGATCACTGACGGCTATGTCTGGCCAGAAGTTCTTCAGCCCCCCTTCTACAGAGTTCCCTGCCATAAGAGAATGCCACAACCTGAACAGCCCTCAATGAAGCTGAGAGGAGAGGATGGGGTAAAGCAGCAACAGCAGCTGTTCCACTAGATGGGAGCCTTTGGTACTCAAAGAATGATCCCCTGTTGTCTCCAGCCTGACCAGGTGGTGGAGCTTAGAGGGGCTACCTTGTCTCTAGTGAGGTGATATATACCTTACTTAAACAATACTTTATCACTAAAAAATGCTAACCATCACCTGAGCCTTCAGTGAGTCGTAGTCTTTTTGCTGGTGGAGGGTCTTGTAAAAAACAAAGTTTCTGCAAAGCTCAATAAAGCAAAGTGCAATAAAATGATGTGTGCCAATAGAGACTAAAAGGGCACTAGAAAAGATCGATGAAACTAAGCTGTTTTTTTAAAAAGATAAACAAAAATGACAAACTTTTAGCTAGATTCATCAAGAAAAAATAGAACCCAAATAAATAGAACCAGAAATGAAAGAGAAGATGTTACCACTGATACCACAGAAATACAATGAGTCATAAGAGACTATACGAACAATTATACACCAACAAATTGGACAACCTAGAAGAAATTGGTAAATTCCTAGAAACATATAACCTATCAAAATGAATCATTAAGAAAAAGAAAATTTGAACAGCTCAATTAGTAGTAAGGATATTAAATCAAAAGTCAAAAACCTCCCAACAAATGAAAGTCCAGGATCACACAGATGACTTTTCTGGTAAATTCTACCAAACATTTGGAGAAGAATTAATACCAATAATTCTCAAACTATTCCAAAAAATAGAAGAGGAAGGAACACTTATGAACTCATTTTATGAGGCGAGCATTACTCTGATACCAAAATGAGACGAGGACACTACAAGAAAAGAAAATTATAGGTCAATATTCCTGATGAACATAGATGCAAAAATCCTCAACAAAATATTAGCAAATTGAATTCAATAATACCTTCAAAAGATCAAACACTGTGATCAGGTGGGATTTATGTCAGCGATGCAAGGATGGTTCAGTATCTACACATCAATCAATGTCAAACACCACATTAGCAAAATGAAGAGTAATCATATGATCATCTTAATAGATGCAGAAAAAGCATTTGACAAAATTCAACATCCTTTCATGACAAAAATTCTCAACAAAGTGGGCATAGAGGAAACGTATCTCAACATAAAAAGGCGCATATGACAAGCCCACAGCTAACGTCATACTCAACAGTGAAAAGCTGATGGCTTTTTTCTAAGATCAGGAACTAGACAAGGATGCCCACTCTTGCACTTTTATTCAACATATTACTGAGATCCTAGCCAGAGAAATTAGGCATGAAAAAGAAATAAAAGGTGTCAGAATCAGAAAGGAAGAAGTTAAACTGTCACTGTTTGTATATGACAGCATATTATATTTAGAAAACCCTCAAGACTCTTCCAAAACCTGTTAGAATTAACAAACAAATTCAGTAAAGTTGCAGGATAGAAAATTAGTATACAAAAATCAGTTGTGTTTCTATACACCAACAATGAACTACCTAAAAGATAATTAAGAAAACAATTACAATTACAAAAGACTCAAATACGATAAAGTACTTAGGAATAAATTTAACCAAGGAGGTGAAAGATCTGTTGTAGCCGCCCTTGACACAGGAAGGGTTAATAATCACTGGAAAAAGCTTGCCAACAAACTGTGACACGGAGGTGAGAAGGCCGGCTAGCCAATGACGGGTAAGACCTCCAGGGGGAGGCAACCTAAGACAGACTTCGGCCGCCTAGGGGCACAGATGGAGACACGATGTCGGGAGCAGGAGGGGCCGTTGCCTAGGAGGACTTGCATGCTCCGAGAGAGACATACGAGCACAGCAATAACATGATAATATCAAAACAGAGGCCAAGGGGGGGCTCCTTGAGAAATCACTAAGAATTCTTGGCATTCGCTAATTACTTCATCCAGAACACTGTGTATGTTTAACAGATGTAAGCTATGTATATATTGAAACACTGGTTATAATAAAATCAGAGTGGCCATCAGCCCTCTCTGCATCTATCCTGATGTGTACATTGGATTGCGACACCAACATCTGTCAATGCATTTTTTGTTGGAAAAATGGTATTGTTCAGTGGACTGTTTTGGCCAATATGTTGTTCTGTGTTGTTCTTATGTTTTTCCACCTCTCCACAAAGGATTTCGACTCTAATGCAAGTCAACGTGTGGATAAAGGAAACTTCAGCTTTTCTTTTATTTAAAAATTTATGTTGGATTTTTTAAAAGTATAGAAATAGACCTAAAAATTCTCATTATAAATTTCTACTATATATAATGCTAATGAGGTTTGGTATGTGCCATATGGTATGTAGAATAATAGTTGTATTTTTCTTTTTTTAAAGCTAAAAATGACTTTTATCCAAAATTTCCTTGAAACAATTGTTTACTATTTTTGAAATTATCATTCTTTCCTTTTCATAAATTAAAAAAATTTATAAAATAAGCATAATAAATTTTTTTAAATAACTGCCTTGAGCCAAGATGGGATGTGATTTTTCTAATGATAGATTCTGTAGATTGCATTTAAATAAAGGTCATAAATTGATTTTAACTACTATTTCAATATGAAAATTTATTAACAATGTTGAATACTAAAGCTACCAGAACTGTTAGCCAAAGCAATATGAATAAAAAATACAGATTAAGCACAGTTTTATACAAGATTTTGAAAAATATTTTCTTGCTGAGTCACATAGGCTCAAATATAGGCCTAGGTAGTCACAAAATTCTTTTACGTATATATTGTTTTCTTGATCTCTTTTGTAAGTGTGTATATGCGTAAACTCAAAACAAAGATTGAAATTCACCTCTTTAATGTGAAACGTGCTTGTTTTTCACTTCACAAATACAAAAACATGAAGTTCGTAGATTGCACAGGAGAGTCAGAGGAGGGCCCTCTCACCTGGCCAGGAAGTTGTGTTGGATGGGAGGGAAAAAGCTGCGTTTCGTTCTGCAGCTCCTCCACGTGGATTTCAGTAAGACTAGAGACTTGTTGATAATCTTTTTCACTCTCAAATCCAAGCGGCATGGGAAATACTTCAAGATTTCTTGTCGCAACATGATTTTTTCCAATAACTCTGTTTCTTTTAAAGCCAAACATCTTGTCACTTGAAGTCAAAACATTTTTTCCGGGACCAGAGGGTTGTCCACCTGGTTCATGTGGTGAAAAGTGTTTGCTAAGCAGGCTCGTCTGCAGCTACTCTTTATCATCCAAACACTTAGGAAAATCTGACCTTCTGTGTCTTTTCAAGTATTCTTGAAATTTTCCTTTCAGCTCACACACCCTGTAGAGATCCCCTCCTACTAAATATGTGGATTTCTATAGCTAGCATATTTATGTTGTCTAGGTTTCTAAAAATCTTTGAGTGAACCAGTGTTTCTTTAATAAAATTAACCATTTTTATAGCATCACTTACAACCTCTTTATTTCATGTCAAAGAGTTTTTGACACTAGTACCTCTGGGTAAAGAAGGTAATGAGTATGACAACATTGGAATTTTCTTTTTTTATAATAAACACAGAACCTTTCATGTAACTGATTGTTGATGGGGCACCATCAGCACAGATGCCAATAGTCACCCAAGATAGGCCTTTTGTTTCCAGATACGATGGCACAACATTAACTAGATCTCAGCCGCTCCTTGTTTGCAACAGACAACTTTACTTGAATTTCACCACCATTTAGAAATCATACAAATGCTACAACATGCCATTTACTGATAAAATCTGTTGACTCATCAACCCACAAGGGGAAACTGTTGTTCTTCAGTTTATTACCCCAGAGCTCATGTGACATGTCATGAATACGACAACTTATCATACTGTGTAATATGGAGCCTTTTCAATTTCTCATACTACAACTTGTCAGCATTTTCCTCACTATACGTCTATATGCTGGCATTTTTAGATTCTCACCAAGTGCATAATATTTTTCATCTTTCCAGGCAATAAGTTCTGTTACTAAATAACTTGCTTCCTGAGTCTTTTAACTAAATGTGACTTTTTTAAACAAAAATTTTACTCTTATTTTGAGATTTCAATGACCGTCTAAAATAAGCAGTACCTTTACTTGTCAAATGGCTACGATTTGTACTCAACAGTCTTCTAAATTTTCCTCCAGCCATTGATGCATTTTCAAAATGTAATATAACAACTTGGATAACCAACCCATGCAAAATTGATTGATGACTAGTTTTTATTGTAAGAATGAACGTATTTTGTCTCTTCTTGCACTAGTACCAGGAAATGACTTAGAAGTTTGCAACTTTTCTCACTAACTTTATCAGAATTATCCATAGACCTGGGTCTAGAATATTCTTCTACCTCAAATTCTATCTTCAAAGAATTACGATGATAAATACCAGACATTTTGGAAAACACAAACACTGATAAAGTATAAAACAGAATGAGATGATAAATAAAAATGAGAAAAATCATTAAAACTTGAAAATTCACATAATAATTCACTGCTAACCTCCACAATACATGTTTTGCAACATTTACAACAACAGTAAAGCAGCATGAGAGAAACTGTCATGACACATAAAAGTACTGTCTTTAGAAGAAAAGTTTCCCTACATTTTTCTATTATACCAGTGGAACTTGGGCACTCCTATAAGGTAGACATTGGCACATAAGAGGAGCTTGTGGGACGGAATTTGGGAGGGAGAGGCTGATGTCATCAATCTACTACTCTCCCTTTTGTGTAACCCAGTGCTCACTGTTCATCAGTGACCTCCCCTAACTCGTGGAATAGCTGAGAATGCACTCTGCCAAGTGCACACTCCTACTGGACACTGTCAGATGGATCTGCAAGACCGCTAATGAAATCGTTATTGGGACCACTCAGTAACTAGCCATCATGGCAAGTGCTGACATTGCGACATGTGTGAAGTTTAAAAAAATGCTCCCTCTTTTCCCCCAACTCTAGTTAAATCCCGAGTGACATCTTGTAGAACCCTAGAGTTTCAGGAGTGCTCGGTTGAGAAACCTGCTTTAGTTACCCTGATTTGTTTCATTTCCTAGAGTGTGCCTTGTTCTTTCCTCTTCATGCTCGTCATATTATCATTTCTTCTGCTTGGAATGCTTCTGCCTCATTGACTCCTGGACACTCAGGACTCCAAATTAGTTCAGATTCCTCCATTATACAATTTTACAGTTCCCTAGACTGCCATTTATGGCATTTATCACAACTATACTTGAATAATTAATAATGTCTGAGGTGATTTATCATATTATCTTCTTAAACATAAACAATGTGCTGGCAAGGCCCATGTCTCTTGTGTTAACTGCTAAATCTTCACTCCATACTATGGTCAAGGTCTCCAGAAATAATGCTTATCTTGGCTTTTGTGGCTTGCAATTTACTGAGTGAATATATGAACAAATTAGCAAACAAGCTGAAGCCACAGGT